TCTCTCACCTCAACAGGAAGTGGAGTCAAACCATGTGACTGTGTAAGCATATAGTCTCCCTTCAAAGAATGCAGGCTATGAATAGCTGACTTTCCATTCCTGGATTCTGGTAGAATTGGAAGCATTTCAACATCTGAGATCAGATCTTGATTATCAGATAAAAACGACCAAACCCCTTTGATCCAAGATGACACCTTTTGTCTTATTGTGTTGTCAAGTTGAGTTGATGACACAATTCCTTGTGCTTCCACAGATGCTTTGAGTAGTTGAGGAAAATCTTTACGACTCCATTTCCTTAAAGACTCTAATTAAAAAAAGAAAGGCTACAAGGTTACATAGTTACTGTCTTGAAATGTCAGCGATATTTGGGCGAGGGTAAGAAAACGTGGTAGAGGGTAAGGCTTGCCGAGCCCTCCATCCCGTTTTTGACCCAAGCCCAAATGTTGCTTATATTTTAAGACAGTAACCATGTCACAGTATTTTGTTTATCCTGCAAAATATATATACATTGATCTCCAAAATGAACTGTTTTCAACCCGATTTAGACATCTCTGCAGTGGAAGCTAAGTTGCCATAGCGTAAACATTGCAATGTACCTGATGTCACAATTCTATTAGAACATCGGAATACATGCAAGAGACTTTATCAGGACATTGACTGAATAAAACTTTAGTTTATTAGGTAACCTTTATTAGGTCAATGCAATGGGTAGTTGCAGGATAAAAAGAAAGAGACAGGCATTTAGGTACCTTTGAAAATGTAACCAATAAAAGAAAAATAAACAAAAGGCCCAAAGGTCTCTAATAGCTCTTCTGATAAATTGTACAACCTATCTCTTCTATTTTAAGCCTCTTAGTATCCTATATATTATGAATTAGAAAATGATTAGCCATAATAATAACCCCTTCCATGGCATATACGCATTTCTACGCATCTGACTTGAAAAACGAATTTATTGTGTTCAAACATTCATAACTTCGTTAATACTGCAAATATCAGAATAATTCTTGCACTGTTAGAAAGAGAAAATTATTACAATAAAATACTATACAGAATTGTTTTTTTTATTGGTTGTACCAGTATTTTGCTAGTGTGGGCCAATTCATATACATTGAATATATTTATTAAAATTTTGCATTTTTAACTACGTTTCTAAATACCTAATTGAACGATGTCTTTGAGATTAAAGTTGGGTTAGTTAGTGTGCGCAGGTGGATTGAGTTGGTGAGCATTTTCTTTGATTTACTATTGGTTAAGAATTTTCATTGGCTGTTTTCATAATGAACCATCAAATCAGATCGTTCCTTTTGTATTATAAGCTAGCCAAATCTAAATTCAAACAATGCAGATCCGGCGCCCTGATTAGTCACTTCCACCTCACACAAGGTATTTTATTATATAATTATAACTTTAAATTACAATTTTTCTTAGTAAATGAAGGACTAAGATTATCAGTAATAAAGTTTAATATGTAATTACTTGTCATAAATGCATTACTATGTATAAATTGTATATATTTACATGTACTTATATTTTTTTGTAGAATCACCTTATATGTTACGTAAATAAATATAGAAACCTACATCGACATCTTTATTTCACTTGGTCACACTAGCTTGACTTAAACTTTATGCTCTATTCAAGTGATTTTGCCATTATCGAAATCAATGCGGTGGTAACGTCTAATGTGTAAAAATGCTCAATTCTGGTGATTACAAGTACCTACCAACCCTAGCCCATCTCTCTAAAATACTTAAAATTAGATTTTTTAAAAATATATACATACAACATGCTCATAATTTTAAACAATAATTGCTTTCAGAATCTTAATATCAATTTGTCTCGAAATGCTTAAAATCTTTGCCATGGAAGGGGTTAAGAAAGTAGGTCCTACTTTTTGGATAACGCACTTTAAGGCCCCATAATGCATAAACTAAAAAATTTTTGATGATCATGGGCTTTATAGTGGTTTTATCCTAGTTATGCATTAAAATCAAACTGAAAAAGAATACATGAAAAATTCAAACCAGAAGTCTCTGATGAGACTGTAGCTCTACTGGTCTGTATGTACATGTATAACAAAGGAAAATTTGGATTTGAACCTTTGCATCGTTAATCAAAATCTGAAACTGATGCACTAAATTTTGAAATATTGAAAAAAATACGTTAACCTTAGACCATTTTCAAAGGAATATACAGGAAATGACACATTTTATGACGTCATAATGCATTGACTTGAGAGAAAATTATGTCATGATTAATAGATACCTGATCACCAACACTCCAAGTGATAAATACTGCATTTGCAACCTAAACTGAATGGTTTTAATTTTTAAAGAAATTCCCGGGGCCAAAAAAGGCCTTAAGTGGCTCTTGCTCTTTCAAGTGCATTGTTTCCTCATTTTTCATCTATAGGTATTTTTACTGTAGCATAATGAATTAATGAAATAAGGTATCATTTTAAAACATCTATCGGGATATAAATACGGCTTGGTCACGAGATTAAATTCCATAAAGCCTAAAGGGCTTTATGATGCATTTGATCTTGTACCAACCCATATTTATAGCCCGATAGATGTTTTAAAATGATACCTTATTACTTATATTTACATTTGTTACTTATTCATACTTTAAATTTTCCTGATTGTGACTTTTAACGTGTGAAATGCATTATTTTTCAAACCCAACGGCATGTATGTAATCCACAGACTGAAGGCTAGTTGACCCTTTATAACGTCACTGAGAAATTACTTCAAACATTTATCCATATGCACATCTATTACCTATTGAGCCCATACCGGTATTTATATAGTTATTGATACGCATTGCTGTCAGTAGTGTTATATAAATGAAAACATTTGCAAATGTAAATATTATGCTATAAAGCAATTTACTTTGTAGTTCAAGTTTTTTCAGTACATGTACCTAACCTGTTATTCAAAAATGTTAAAGGATCCTGATGTAATCCTAAAATTTTTTTAGCTAGGTGTGTGTTGGCAACAACCTTAATCAGACTGGGATACCCACTGGGAGCCAGTTGGCAGGAGTCCATCGTAACATGGGGCTGCTTGGACGTAGTTGTGGGCTTGTGGGCCAACATCAGAATGTAAATAGAAAAAAAATCTTGTTGTGTGTAACTGAACAGAGTACGACGACTGTCGTGTCACCATCAATAGTTCCAAAATATTCACCATTGCGATTTCTGTTTTATGCCCTTTTCACAGATTAATATTGTTTGTACACTTTTTTAAAGATCGATCACCGTATGTTATCTACACCCTTTTCATTATATGAATGTATATGTTAGAGAAAATCCGAAAATGATTGTGATGTTTCTTTCAATGCATGGTGAAGATTGATCTGTTTTTTTGTAATATATAATTAACTTTTTGTTATAAATAAAAGGACACCTCTAAATTGCAATTTAAAACCTTGATAGCTGCTAGTTTTTCTTTGGAAAGTTCTATAGTTATCTTTGACATTATATTGCTTACAAGTTCCACACAACAATAGAGATTGAATAAATACATCATGAAGTCAATGTTTGAACTATAATTTCTAAACAATATTTTAGAGAGCAATGTACTATTCATGCAGTAAATGAAAGAGTTTGACACGTGACCAGGTAATTGTTTCCAAAACATGCAAGCTCATATCATCAGGTACCACAAGTAGCTGGCTTGTCAATTAAATCAGAAGCTACTGTAGATCACTTAATTTTCGCGACACCTTATTTTCGCGAGATAGCCGTTGACTTTTTATTAGCGAGACATATTTTTCACGAATAGTTGTTTTCCTCTATATAATCGTAAGGAATACTTTTATACGCGAGAAAGAAATTTTCGCGAGCTCACTGTTTTGCGTAATTACGCGAAAATAAAGTTCTCGCAAATAAAACGTGATTTACAGTATTGTTTTTTTATTGATTGACAGGCAGTATATTATTGATCTCGAATTAGGTAGATTTTGGGGGTATTAACATAAGATTGGGTTTTAATTATAAAAGAGAGCCCTTGGTCAATTGATACTCATGACAATTTTTACAAAAATGGTCAAGGGTTCTTGAGAAATGACCCCTATTTCAAAAAATTGAGTACCTGGTAAACACACTGCACAAATGGCCATAGCATAAGCTCTTTTAGCCTTTGGCTCAGAAGAGCTAACAAGTACATGCTTATTAAACATCACCTACTTGTTTGACTTTGCATTGTCATCAATTTGACTTTCATGTCTTCTTTCAAGTCAGATAGCAATTGCTTTTCTAACTCTGGGAATAGAGCAGCTTCAGTTTCTGAGCATAAATACAGAGTTCTTGTGGATGCTAGAGACACAAAGTGGGTCTTGTCATTTGTTGGCAACAGTTCCAGTTGTTTCCATTCTTCTTGATGGCCATATTCTAAGAAGTAATCCAGAAGTACTAATTTGGTGCATCTCTTCTTCTCTTTATACCGGTTGTCTTTAAGCAGAAGATTGGCAATGTATTCTGTGCTTATAACCTTTGGCTGGATTTCAGGTAGAAATCTGTATTCTGTATTTGACTCCACTAAAACTCTCAAATGCTTTGGCAATATGACCAAGTTTTCTTCGTACTCTTTAATCAGCTCTATCACTACTTCCTTTGTTTCCTCTGCTATTTCTCTTTCTCTGTCGACAAAAACATCAAACACAGCCTGCTCATAATTAACCCAAGTTTTCTCCTGCTTTTCAGTCTGGAAGATGTTCATTCTGAGGACACTTTCCATGACAGGCTGAATGAGAAGTTTCCACAATGCACTTTCAACTTTCTGGACATCAGGCAAACAGCGATAGACAATCTCTCGTGGACTACCTTCCTTGAAAAGATCCTCAATCAGCTTTATATATGCTTGAGATATTACTTCTTGAATCAGTCGCTCATTCCATTCTATGTTTTTATCTCTCTCACCAACCTGCCCTGCTGTGGTATGTAAAACATGGTCTCGTGCAGGATCCAGGTTAAAAAAGCCATTTACATGTACAGGTAGATTGGTCAAACTACTGGATTGAAAAGGCAAAGGTAGAAAACAGAACACATGAGCAGTAAATGATTCCTCTATCTGTAGAGGATAAGCTACGCCAACAAAGGGGGCATTATCTCCATCTTCTGACAATGTTTTGAGATCCTGTGACATTTCTTTCGTGCCTTGGTAAAAATTGACGATTTTGAACTTAGCTTTCTTTTCTGAACCCTCTTTTCCATTCCTTGTGATGACCAGGGCATTGTATGCAACACTTTGGGAATCCTCTGGTTTTGTGCTTGTGTTCTTTAACCAATCTCTTGTGCATTCTCGTAAGCCAGAAAAGTTGTCTACTGATGTGCTAGTTCCCTCTATAGTCACTTCATACAATACACTGTCCCTGTTTTCCATTATTGTAATAGAGCTGATGTATCGAAGAAACAGCAGGGTTGAGTCTGCCTCTTTTCTGAATGACTCCACCAGTTCCATCATTCTGGAGGGGAGGTAAATCTTGTCCAAGAGAGAGGATGGTGCTCTTCTCAGGGGAAACCAAAACAAAGTACCTGTAAAGAAATTCCTAACATATCTGATGCATTCTCAAATTACAGGCATTGCAATTTCTTATCAGCACTCAAAACATTTTTTTAATTTCTTTCATTTAAAAAAGGTGCCTTTTCTAAGAGAGATATCTAAAAAATAGATATATTTCAGCATTGAAAAGTTTATGGGAAGGGGGGCATGAGTTTTAAACTATCTAAGTATCATGCAACAACTTTCCAACAATTGAATTTAGTTCATGTTTTAACCAAAGTGGCCATGAAATCTACAATTCTGAAAGAGGTACCAGTGCTAATCATAAGTATACACTTAGCAAGCTTACTTACAAGACAACAGATCAGAGGGGCAACTAAAAGATAGGTAATCAGAGGTTACAGAGCTCACCTCAACAAATGTTTGTCTTTAAGTAAGGCAAAGTCCCACATTAAACTAATAATCTAGAAGTGTACATCCCAAAATCACTCATCTGGAAAACCTAGATGCAAGCCTGATAGTGTGCATCCTTAGATGTATCATCCATGCAAGTTTGGTCAACATAGGGTTTATAGTTACTTAGAAATGAGAACTGCACCAAAATCATTGCCCTGTTCACTCATTCAGAAAATGTAGGTCAAATCCAGCATCTGAAGCAAGCCTGGTAGTATGCATCCTTAGATGTATCACCCATGCAAGTTTGGTCAACATAGGGCTTATAGTTACTCAGAAATGAGATCAGCACCAACAACATTAACCTGTTCACTCATTCGGAAAATGTAGGTCAGATTCAGCATCTGAAGCAAGCCTGGTAGTATGCATCCTTAGATGTATCACCCATGCAAGTGTGGCAAACACATGGCCCGGGTAATAGTTACTTGGAAATAAGATCTGCACCAAAAACTTTAACCAACTCATAAAACATCAATCTGGTCATTCCTTTGCTGAAATTGCAACATCTGAAACCTTGACTGGTACAATGAAACACACTAAGAAGCATCTTGCATGCATCTCTGATCAATTTAGGGCATAGAAGTATATAAAGAGAAAACTACACCAAAAATTTTATCCTGGGACGCCGACCCTGAGGGTATCACATAAGCTCTCCATAACTTTGTTTGAGGTGAGCTAAAAATGCATTTCCACAATATGAACAGTAGTGCCCCATCCTACAGGAACCAATGACCCTGAGGCCACATATTTCACAGTTTTAAAAGGCACCTTTGCTCATCATAAATGGTTGATTTATATCAAACAGCAGATTTCAAAACATTAATTCATTTTCAGTGTATGATCATTAGAGTTCCCCTCTGGTACCCCTGACAAAGGAGCCATGAAATTCATCTTTTTTTTAGAGGCACCTTTCCTCAATATAACTATGTGACTACTTAGTTCATCAGCATAATACCCAAGAACAGAGGAGAAGATTTTCAAAGAAGTAATGCATTTTCACCATATAATCAATAGAACCTCGCCTAGCTGCAGAACCGTAGTGATATGGTTTTATATATTATTAAGTCTTTAACTATTATAATAATTGTGCTGTTTTTGTATTGCATATTCTATTTTGATCGGGTTCGGTATTCTGTTTATACTAATTATGGCAGCCATGCGGGTTTGCCTGGCGTTTTGGCTGTTAAGTTTGGTGTAGTTGGCCTCCCTAAGGAGTAAGTTTTGTATTGTTTTACCTGTATTTATATCTAACTTGATCATTTGCATATTATGGTATTATGCATTATTAACTATTATGTTTAAATTCTGCAATTACAATGTTTTGTGTAAACGCGCATTTTCGGTCTGCGATAGGCATAGGCCTGCTTAGCTCACATGTTAAGTGACACATGTAATTTTGTATAATTGTTTTTTGTCAAATTCTTATTGTGCTTTTGTAATTTGTAGTTTTTCACCCTCTCAGGAGGTTTGTCCAATAAACAGTACAGTGAAAAATCCTTAATCCCTGGTCATTTATGGAGCGACGCCAGAATAGGAAAATGACGACTCAAGGCTCTTACCAGTTTGAAGAAAATGTTTTAAGCTTTACGTCAAAGCTATCCATGATATAAAAAGACATTGATGGTATCATTTCTGAGTCAGCAAGTGGTGTGGAGCTCGCACAGACTCAACAGATTATTGACAGTCTACGAAAACATTTGGAAAACTATGAAGCACTTAGTAACAGTTATGAAGCGTTTTTGAAAGGTCACAGGACTACAGATAGTGCGAATGAACAGTCTTCACACAAACTAATTCGAGCATCCTTACATGCCAAGACCAGTGCTTTTATCAAAGAGCTACAGTCCGCACTGCCAAAGATGGAGTCATCTAAGGCACCGTCATTTGTTCCCTCGCACATATCGGGAAGATCAGGTTCAAGTCACCTCACCGCTGTCTGGATGCAACATTCTGCAAATGTTGAGAAATCGAAGGCTCGTTTGAAGTATGCAGCTGAGGAGGCTGAGCTCATTAGACAAGAAGCTGCTCTGAAAGCCAGTAGGAACCTTTTGAACGTGAAGCGTGAGCTTGAAGAAGCTGAATCTGGACTAAGTGCAATTCGTCAAGTGTTAGACTTTTCTCATTCAAGCTCAAGATCTATGGAGAGCGAGCAAGGCAGCTATAAACCTTCTTTTTCATCCAAGCTCCATGTGCTTTGTTACATGCAGGATAACAACAATGATCGCACCCCTCCTCCGGAAGTTCCGGCTGAAGTGAATCTTCATGTGTTTAATAACAACAAACCTTTCCCACAGGAAATAAGGCAAAACCCACCATCCTTGTGCTCCAGAAAGTAAGACAAATGAACTGAATCCAAGTGCTGTTCCATTTACCCCTAAGCAAACTTCTACTGAAGCTGCCGACTTGGCAAAATTAGTCGCTAAGAACCAGTTACTGCCAAGGAGACTCTGGAACTTTAATGATGATACGGGAAGATACCTTTCTTGGAAGTACAGTTTCATGAATGTCATGAGTGAGATCAGTGCAACAACACTCGAACACTTGGACTTGTTAGTGAATCATCTCGGACCAGAATCTAGAATTCAAGCTGAGAATATCCGAGCTACAAATTCACGAAACCCAGAGAAAGCTGTCAAGGATATATGGGAACGCTTGGACCGTGAATATGGGAGTGCAGAAACTATTGAACTGTCACTTAAGAAGCGCATAAACAATTTTGCGGCTCTCACAGATGGTGATCGCAAGAAATTTCTTGACTTGTCCGATCTAGCAGCAGAAGTAGAATCGGTGAAATGTGATCCTATGTTTGGCACATCATTTTCATACTATGACACGTCCTGTGGCATCAACGAGTTTGTACATAAACTTCCAAAGCATTTCTGGGAAAAGTGGGCTTCAGAATGTGACAGATACAAGATAAACAATTGTGTCTCACAAATACCACTCTCTGTGTTTACAAAATTCCTGAGAGATCTCGCACGTGTGCGTAATGATCCCAGTCATCTGTTTGAGACTTCCTCTACCAACGCCGGCCATGGAAAATCACAGACAGCTCAGCAGAGGTACAAGACTGGACTACATAACCCTTATCATCAAACAACTGTGTCTACTAAGAAGACAGAAGTTACAACAGACTTGAATTCTAACATTGTTAATGTGAGTTGCCCCATTCATGGAACCAATTCAAGTCATTCGCTTAAGGACTGTATGAAATTCCGTGGAAAAACATTTAAGGAGCAAAAGGATTACATTTACAAGAATGGTTACTGCTTGAAGTGTTGTGGTTCAAGGCGTCATCTGCAGAAAAACTGTAGAGAAACTGTGAAATGTGACACTTGTGGTTCTACAGATCATGTAACAATTCTTCACCCTGACCCTAGAGTGAGTCACGAGGGGGAGTAGTTGCAAGCGAGTCATGAGGGGGAGAAACTCCAGCTAAGTACCTACTGTACTAAAGTATGTGGCACACAATACAGCACCAGCAAGTTGTGTGCGAAGATCTTACCTGTGTATGTGTACCCTGTTGGTGAGGAGAATCGTTCACGCAAGGTGTATTGCATGATAGACAACCAGAGTAACAAATTGTGGCCACATCAGCCTTCTTTGATGCCTTTGGAGAGTGTGGTATAAAGACTGAATATATCCTTTCTTCGTGTTCAGGGAAATCTGTTACATCAGGACACAGGGCATCTGGATATGTTGTCAAGTCAGTTGATGGATCGTGTACTCTGAGTTTACCCTGTGTGATAGAATGTAATGACTTTCCAAACAACCGGCATGAAATACCCTCTCCAGCAGTGGCAGATTACTACACACACCTTCATGACCTTGCACCCTTCATACCAGATATTGATGACGGTGCTGGAATTGAACTCCTGATTGGAAGGGACCTAGTTACTGCACACCACGTGTTGGATCAACCTGTTGGAGAAGAGGGACTTCCTTATGGCCAGAAGTTACCCCTAGTCTGGGTTATCATCAGAGATGTTTGTCTGGGCAAAGTGCATCAACCAGATGTGATTAGTGTAAACAAGACTTCAATTCTGATGAATGGAAGACCCACTCATTTACTGCCCTGTGGAAATGAATACCTTGTGGAAGAGGAGCCTATCTTTCAACGCTTACCAGGGGATGAGAAACCAGGATTGTCGATCGAAGATCGTAAGTTCCTAGACATCATGGATACTGGTTTCAAGAGAACCTCTGATGGTCAGTGGCAAGCGCCTTTATCTTTCCGTGATCATAGACCAGTTTTACCAGATAACAAGTCACTTGCCCTTAGAAGAGCCAGGTCATTAGACATCAGCTTGAGATGTAACCACCTCAAACGGGAACAAGTTAGAGAATTCATGGAGAGGTTATTCATGAATCATCATGCTGAGTTAGCACCTGAGTTACCCCTGTCATTGGAGCGATGGTACTTACCTATGTTTGTGGTGTATCATCCCAAGAAGCCAGACAACGTGCGTATAGTGTTTGACTCATCCGCCAAGTTCCAGGACGTTTCCTTGAATAGTGTCTTACTTCAAGGTCCGGACTTGTGTAACAGCCTGCTTGGTGTTTTGCTTAGATTCCGCAGAGAAAAGATAGCAGTCACCATGGACGTTGAGCAGATGTTTCACAATTTCAAAGTTCCTGAAGACCAGCGTCGTTACCTACGCTTTCTGTGGCACTTGGACAATGACTTGGATCAGCCATTAGTGGACTTTCAGATGATTGTTCATGTATTTGGCAACAGTCCTTCGCCGGCAGTTGCAACATTTGGTCTTAGGAAAGTAGTCGAGGGATCGTCAGAAGATATAAGGGATTTGGTGTGTAACAACTTCTACGTTGATGATGGTCTCTTGTCCAGTACAACAGAAGAGGAGGCCATAAGTCTTGTGCATTGGACCAAGAAAGCCTTACAAGATGGTGGAAACATTAGACTCCACAAATTTTCCTCCAACAGTAGGAAAGTATTAGATTCATTCGCCCCAGATGACCTGGCCAAGAACTTGAAAGATCTCGACTTTGGATCAATTGCCCTCCCAATACAATGGAGTTTAGGATTGTTATGGAACACAGAGATGGACGAATTTACATTTAAAGTTAACCCAGTGGAGAAAGCGTACACAAGACATGGACTGTTATCTACTATAAACAGTGTGTAAGACCCTATTGGATTCGCTCAACCTGTCGTTATCAGAGGGAAGCTATTGTTACGCGAGATGATGTCCGTAACAACGAATACAGACTGGGATGAGCCGTTACCAGCATTTCTACATGATGAGTGGTCAGCGTGGGTTGATTCTCTGAGTCAACTGGAAAACTTTTGTGTGCCAAGGAGTTACAACAGTTCATTCGTTGACTCAACCAGACGTGAAGTTCTTGTATTTTGTGATGCGTCAAAGGACATTATTGCTGCAGTGGAGTATCTTAAACTTCAGGACAATGACATGTGTAGTACCAACTTCCTGCTTGGGAAGGCCAAGGTTGCCCCAGTCCATGGGCATACTATTCCACGGCTTGAGCTGTGTGTGGCCGTATTAGCTACAGAAGTTGCCGAGTTTGTGAGAGATCAGCTGAGCATTCTGTTGCAGGACTTTCGTTTCTTCTCAGACAGTCATATAGTACTTGGCTATATCTCGAATGAAAGTCACAGATTCTATGTTTATGTTGGGAACAGAGTGGCACGCATTCATTTGTTTAGTCATCCTTCCCAATGGAGGTTTGTTCAGTCCAAGCTTAATCCTGCTGATGTTGCTACCAGGCCTGTGAACCCTTCTACTCTTCAAGATTCAAGCTGGATTCGTGAACCGCACAGTTCGCTCAGTACTCCTACTGAGGACTTTCAATTAGTGGATCCTGAGCATGATACTGAGATTCGCCCAGATGTAACCTGCAGCAAGACTGACACAACAGATGTCACACATTCAAATCAAAACCTTCAACTTGTCAGACAGAAGTGTTTTCTAAAAGATTCACTAGATTTTCTAGTTGAGATATGCTTGTACGTGCAGTTGCTCGCTTGAAGTTTATGACTAGACAGTTTCTGAAGAACAAAGACAACTTACCTGGTGGTCCCCGCGACCCAGAACTCTTGAAGGAGAGTGAGCGTTCTGTCCTAGCATCTGTACAGAGAGATGAGTTCAGTGCAGAATTTCGGTGTATAGAGGATAACATAGACATTCCGCATTCTAGCGCAATCAGACCTTTATGTCCAAGAATTGGTGCAGATGGACTGCTACATGTTGGTGGATGGTTAAACAAGGTACCTGTTGATTTGCTAAATGATGACATGCACAACCCTATTATCCTACCAAAGAACAACCATGTCAGTTACCTCATCATACGTCACTTCCACCAGAGGATATTTCATCAAGGCAGACACTTCACAGAGGGAGCTGTACGTTCCACTGGATTCTGGGTAGTGAGCTCAAGATGGATGACTGTTTCGGTTATAAAGAGCTGCATTGTTTGTCGTAAGCTTCGTGGACAACCAGGATGGCAGCATATGGCAGATCTTCCGGAAGATTGTTGTAAACCGTGTCCGCCATTTTCTTTTGTGGGTGTTGACACTTTCGGCCCGTGGCCTGTTGTGCATCATCGAACCAGGGGTGGAAGTTCAAGTCAGAAACATTGGGCTATTCTGTTTATCTGTTTTGTGACTAGGGCCATTCATATTGAGGTTATTGAAGAACTTACCAGTGGTGCATTCATAAATGCTTTGAGGCGTTTTATCGCAGTGCATGGTCAAATCACACAGTTCCGTTCTGACAGGGGGACAAATTTCATCGGCGCAGTGAATGACCTTGACATTGATGCTGAATTAATAGAAAATGGTCCTGTTTCCAAGTTCCTGTCAGATTCTAGGATTGTTTGGAAATTCAATCCCCCACATGCTCCTCACATGGGAGGTGCATGGGAGAGACTCATCGGTGTTTCAAGGAAGATTTTGAACGCTATGCTACTGGATCACAGACTGAAGGACATCACGCATGATGTACTGATTATGTTAATGGCTGAGGTATGTGCTTTTGTTAACAATAGATCGTTAACAGATGTTTCAAGTGACCCAGAAGCTCCAATATTACTTACTCCATCAATGCTTCTGACAATGAAGACCAAACAGGATACCGTGTGTTTTCCGTCATTTGGTACCAAGGATCACCTGCATAACTTACAGCATCGTAGGAAGTGGCAAGGCCATTCCTTGAATTTAAAGCCCGGTGACTTAGTATTACTGATGGAGGATGACTCTCCGCGCAACTAGTGGCCCACTGGAATAGTTCAAAGGACATTCCCTAGTGAAGACGGAAAGATCCATAAAGCTGAAGTCGCAGTTTGTAAGGACAACAAACGTGTCGTGTACGTGAGACCAATAGCTCGACTTATCACCCTTCTAGAATCTAGAGACTGATTGACATTTTAACTCTTTGTGATCTAATGGTACGTGTAGCATGTTTGTTACGTCAGGATTAGTGTGTCATATTCATTTGGCATTTGTGTGTAGTGGTTAGCTCAGTATATACACTGTATAATGTCAGGTTATGTTACAATGTAAGTTGTATTTTTTACTTTACATTTTTGGTAGATAAGTGATTTTAGGTAAAATCAGAGGGGGAGTGTGCCGTTTTCGTATTGCATATTTTATTTCGATCGGGTTCGATATTCTGTTTATACTAATTATGGCAGCCATGCGGTTTGCCTGGCGTTTTGGCTGTTAAGTTTGGTGTAGTTGGCCTCCCTAAGGAGTAAGTTTTGTATTGTTTTACCTGTATTTATATCGAACTTGATCATTTCTATCTTATAGTATTATGCATTATTACCTATTATGTTTAAATTCTGCAATTACAATGTTTTGTGTAAACGCGCATTTTCGGTCTGCCATATGCATAGGCCTGCTTAGCTCACATGTTAAGTGACACATGTAATTTTGTATAATTGTTTTTCGATATTGATATTTTGTCAAATTCTTATTGTGCTTTTGTAATTTGTAGTTTTTCACCCTCTCAGGAGGTTTGTCCAATAAACAGTACAATAATGCTACAGATTCCGTAATGCAAATAAGGTGCAATTTACAGTGCAAAATTTTCAGCATTAGTCAATCAACTACCTTTCACTCCCCAATACACTCATTTGCTTAGAATTTTTAGCAGAACATTTAAAACAAGCTAGATTACTGGTTTATTAAGACAACAATAAAGGTTTATGAGGTGAATAAATGTACAAGTTGATTTAACAAGAATTTTGTGAGCCAATGCTCACCAATAATAACCCAGCTCTGATGTGATGTTGATATACACAAGTTCAATTATGGGCAGATACACAGATGAATTGTAAGTTGACATCAGATTCATATAAAAATTAATCCAACCATATGGTATGCATTTTCACTACGTGATCAATAGAGCCCCACCTTAACACTAGAACCCCTGAACCAAGGGCCATAAAATATTTTACAATTTTGGAAGAGGCACCCTTCCTCATCATATTTATGTACATAGTTCATTGGGTAAATACCCAGGAGCATAGTATTTTTTAAAGAAATAATTTATTTTCACTTCATATTCACCCTAGTACCAGAACTCCTGATCCTGGGGCTATGAATTTCACAATTTTGGTAGAGGGCTCGATCAATGCCAATTACAATCATGCAAACAGTTTGACTGTTAAAAAAAAAGATTTGAGTAAAGAAGAAGAAGATCTTTAAAGATTGCATTAATTTTTAGTGGTTCTGGCCCCACCCTTCAGGCCCCAAGGGACAGGGACAATGAAATTCATTAGTTTTGTTTCCCTTCACCCATAGATGCTATATGCCTAAATTGGTTAAAATTGGTTGAGCGGTTTTAGAGAAGAAGCTGAAAATGTTTAAATGTTCATGCAAGAAGCTGGACAGACAAAAACAGATAGCAATAGGTCTACCTGAGTGACTCAGGTGACCTAAAGAATTATATACGAGGGGCGTTCAATAAATACATGTAATGTCATCAGGGCTCGGAAAGAAACAAAAAACGCTTTTCAATGATTTTGTCTTCATGATTTAGCTAAAATATTCTCTTTTAATTAAAAAACATGTCCGTAACATTTTTATTCAATTTCTAAGTGTTTTTAGAACAAAGTTTTGAATATGACTCTTCGTATACTGGAAAATGGCAGATCCTATGATTTGCTGTACTTGTTTTCTTCTCTCTGAATGGTGTTTTCCTAAGTTTGTAAAATGAAACAATTCAAAGATTGAAAGATCTGGCGAATATTGTTGATGTGACAAAACATTAACTTTCTGTTTACCCCAAAACTCCTTTACTCTTCATGGCCTGTGGGTTTGGACGCTGTCAGGAAGAAATTTAATGTAGTGGATTCCTCATTCTGTTTCCTTCCTGTCATAAACCTTTCAATTTTTTGGCAAATAATTTGCTTACTAGACTTCTCCAGACATTGAACTGCCTCCCTATATATGTCTTTGAACAACAAGACCACTAATATTTAAGAAAATAGCGTATAAAACTAATTTGTGTTCTTGCAATTTTTTGCTCTTCTTAGGCCGTTGCAGTTTTGTCAAGTACATCTTATTCTAAATTTGTTTTGAGGGTTTAACGCAAAATGGATTCAAGTTTCATGATCTGTTTGAATTTTAGAAAAACGTGGATAAGAACAATTTTTGATTTTATAAAAATAATTGTTTAGATTTTCTACACGCTCACGTTTTCACTCATTTTTAAAAATATAGGGTGACCTTTGAGTATTAAACTTTTTTACAATCAAATGTTTGTTTAAAACAGTGTGAACTACCCCCAAAATGATGTCTATCAAATTTGCTATGTATCTTAAAGTCAATAAAACATAATCAGTGATAATTTGTTGAATTATCCCTAATATACATTGGTTGTTGTATGTCCTTGTTGACAAGGACGGTACCCATTTTTGATGCCCATTATATAATTTTTGTTCAATGAAATCCACCAGTTCATGTGTGTATGAAACAGACATAAGTTGCTGTAAATTTCACATATTTCACTTAATATATTTTTGGAAAATTAACAAGTTTTACAGCTGCTTTAATGACGCGTTTAATTTTACTCTAGTTTACTGATTCTTGACCATTCATTTTTAATGCAGTGTCTCGAATAGCCCTTGTTTTCTAGCTTCCCACAATGAAATTATGTGATGAAAAGTGGTCACATAAACTGTTATCAATTCATTAAAGATTCAATAATTAGAGAAAGTCAAGCTTAATGTCATATGTTTACTACGTAGTATGTCATCGAGCTGATGACATTATTTATTGAACACCCCTCGTAAACTGAAAAAATTTCAAACATTATTTTTTGGGTTTACATAACTCAAAATCTTTCGACATACTTGGGAAATATCCTTTCTTCACAAAAGATGCTTCAAATCCAAAAACGCCTCCATTGTCCAAGTTGAGGACCTTCTTCAGTACTGGCCACAGGGTGGATTTGTACTTTGAGGTAAGCTTCTTGAAGGTAACATTATGACATACTCTTTCTGGGGAACTTGTTGGGTCGATAATCAACAGCCTATCACCACTTATTATGACAGGTGTATCTATGTCAGTGAAAATAACAGGCAAGAATGAAATACATGTAAGTCTAATATGAGCCCCTAGAGCAGTGTAAAACAATATAATAATTTGTATGGTTCTAAACAGTCAACTTAATATCATTTACAGGTAACTCTCGATACCTCGAAGTCCACGGGACCGAGGAAAAACTTCGTGAGATCAAGAGTTCGAGTTTTCAAGAGTCCGGATTTTTCCGGGTTTGTTTGACAGGTTTCAAAATTGGTCATACCGGATGTAATGATTTTCATGCAGTCCTTACCTTTTACTCATGGTTTTTACAAAACAACGATATATTTTCGTATTTTAGATGAATATTTATTCAAACTGAGTAAAGCAAAAAATGTACATTGTCAGTTCATGTTTATTTATTTATTTTTTATCAAGCGGATATCATTCTTCGCATTCGCTATACATGCTATATGAAAACGGCATTTTACTAGCGTCGCGTGGTACATAGCATTGTGACTCTTCCAAACATTGAACGAAATTCTGCATTGAACGAAATTCTGTATGTATTTGTCCAACAAAATTCGTCATATTGACAGCGAGGCTGTTTCTGAATTTTCATATTTCGTTAAACTTTGAAACTGATTCAAAATAAAAATTAAATTCATTAAGTGTTTTGTCTCGTAATCTGCAATCATAATTTCTCAACAACACTACGTTTCAGAATTATCGTAATACAGACGATAATTATTTTGATAGAATATAGGCACCATAAGATTAATTATAAATCAATTATCACCTTGCAGAATAAGTGTCACCTGAGTAAACATCCCATGTCACGAGACCCGTGTTTTCTGCCTGGGGTCATTAAATGTCCAGGTAGAGTTGCTAATTATGTAACTTTGTATACACATAGCCACTTCGCGGTATCAAAGGTAAATTTCAACAGAATGCACAGCGTGACTGTGATTTTACTTTGAGGGATCAAGGGTTTCGAGAGATCAAGAGTTCGAGAAATCAAGAGTAAATTTGCTTAGTTATATAGGAAAAAATTCGGGACCGAAGACTCACTTCGAGCGATCAAGAACTTCGAGAGATCGAAGTTCGAGCCATCAAGAGTTACCTGTAGTTTCAAACCTATCATTTGGTCTCATTTTGTCTGACATGTCTTGCACCATTAAGTAATGTTAGGTCATTGTTTTTCTGCTAAATTTGACTATTGTGTACTAATATACCTAATCAATACAGATGGCTTATGGTCAGGTGATTGGTCCACAGATTTTGCTTACTGATCCTCCAAAGCACCTCGGAAGCGGTAGCATTACATGTCATTTTTTATGCATTGATTCATATAATTATGTAAATACATGTATTGCCTAAATAAACCCCTGCAATAATTTAAAAACTCAAACAGCAACTGCCATGAAGAAGACAAAAACATTAAATACAGCAAATGATGACATTTATATTTAGCCTATTTATAAGTAATTCAGATCTAAAACTAGTTCATATCTTTTGTTAAAAATAAACCAAAAATGGATTTTGCAGATAAGTGGTAGATTTATGAATAACACTGGTACTCAGCCCGGCTGTAGAACTTCCATGGAACTCCATGGATATACCATGAAAATCCATGGAAAAAAGTGTCCATGGAAAAAACCTGGAGTATTTGGACTCCTTGTCCAGGGAATAATTTGATAAAATAAGGGTGGAAAATAACTAGAAAATGTCCATGGCAATAT